TTTGTCGAACGCTTTTGCGACGTCGAAGAAGAGAGCTCCCGTGTATAACGGTTTTGGTCGATTAAGCCCCACAAGAATGTGCTCCGTGAGGCGGTGCACCTGTTGAACGCATGAGTGATTTGTACGGAATCCGAATTGTTCATCGATAAGAATGCCCTTGGATGAGACGAAGTCTCTGAGGCGTTTGTAGAGCAGACGCTCATACAGTTTGCCTAGAGACATGAGGAGGCTAATCGGGCGGTAGCTCGTCGGATGATTTTTTGGTTTACCGGGTTTATGTATGCCGATAACGTCCGCTTCTTTCCACACCGCGGGAAAGATACAGTTCGCCATAGCGGCATTGAAAATAGATGCCAACATCACGATGAGTTGGACGGGTAGAAGTTTAATAACGCGGTTGGAACGTATATACTAAGTATAAGTGTACTATATATATTATGTACAATGGACATACGAACAAGTCTTTTGAATCGATACCTACACTGTGTGATAGGGTTTATTGATGGACACAAGTTTTTTTTGCGTTTCGATTTCGTAACAAAAAATAATATATAATTTATTTTGGGGTTATGCAAACATGCGAATTGATATTTTCCGAAATCCGAACAAAACATTGTATTTCATAATATCATAAATCTTACTTGGTATTTGTTCGGTTGTCTGTTGTATATTTATAGAGAGCCAGCCGGGTATAACGGTTAGTCGAGCCAGTTTCTCGGGTTTCCGATAATCAGATAGAATTTTTAATAAGTCATCATCCGACATCTTATTAGGCTCCTGTCGGTAAATCGCAGAAAACTCTGAGGTTACATCCAAATCGTTGCTATACATTCTGAAAACGGGTGGCGATTAATTTTAAACCTTTTTCTAATACTTAAAAATTTATTTAACAGAACATTAACAATTTCATAATTGATCTTCACAGTTAAAAACTACTACAATCTGTACTCATTACCTTACATTATAGAAATAAAAAACTGCTTTTTATTAATTTTTAATGCAAGTACCTATTTATTTTCAATGCTGTGGAACATAAAATTACTTTTTTTTTTAATTGCTTAGATGGGTGTACGAGCTCACAGCCCACCTGGTTTTAAGTGGTTACTGGAGCCCATAGACATATACAACGTAAATGCGCCACCCACCTTGAGATATGAGTTCTAAGATCTCAATATAGTTACAACGGCTACCCCACCCTTCGAACCGAAACGCATTACTGCTTCACGGCGGAAATAGGCGGGGTGGTGGAACCTACCCGTGCGGACTCCCAAGAGGTCCTACCATCAGTAATAAAAATTAAAATAATAATAATAAGTATTAATAATTACTTACTTGTACAAAGGCTTTGCTGCCCAAGCGAAGGGCATTTTGTAGTTTCCGACGCGATTCCCATACGCTTGCACGTTTTTGTGAACCTTAAGACCGAGCCTGGGGTCCTTGGTCGCTTTCATATACGGTTCCAAAACTTGACTAACATGACCTTGGAGTATTTTGTCTATTTTAACTACTAAAAATAAGTCCGGATGTGGATTATTCACCGATAAAACCACCTGAAACGTTTTATTTCATATTTGAAAAGCGTTTTTATAACGGATGCGCGATAAGCCGACATCTAAATGAAGCGTATGACCTAAATACCTCGATATAATGCTTGTGAACTTTGATCTTATAGCCGGGAATATATTAAAATATAAATACAAACGTAGCTAGTATTTCGTTGGTAGATTTATTATTTTTACTGGTGGTAGGACCTCTTGTGTGTCCGCACGGATAGGTACCACCACCCCGCCTATTTCTACCGTGAAACAGTAATGCGTTTCGGCTTGAATGGTGGGACAACCGTTGTAACTATACTGAGACCTTAGAACTCATAACTCAAAATAATAAAAATGTTCACACACGAAATAAAAATGTTCAAACACGTTCACAGTTCGTCTCGAAGTCAAAGTCTCAAGTGTTTTGTAATATGGCCGTCTCAAGCAATTGGAGGTATGATGATTCACGGCAAAATCGGGATATAAATAGTTATTTACATAAGCTCACAATATCCTCTATCAATAGTAGTATATGTATATAAATTAATTGATATGTTTTTGGGATTCATTTTCATTACCTAATGTTTTCTCTTATATATTTTTTTGGTTGTTATCACATCGCAAAAGATTCTAAATCGAATCAAAAATTAAACTATTATATGTATGTATGTATTTATGTATGAATGTATGTATGTATGCATATATATATGTATGTATGTATAAACTTTTTGTAACTTAATATTATAAATTTCATTGCACCTATCACTATTCACTCTGCACTATCTTAGGTTGACTGGTAGAGAATGCCTTTGGCATTAAGTCCGCCAATGTAAATTTTACATGAAGTGTAATAAAAAAACAAAAAAATTTAGATCAGAATAGAATTCAAAACAAAAAAACCTACCTGTCTCTTCGACCGATACCATTCCTCCGGTATCTGTTTTACATCTAATTTAACATCGTAACTAAAGTTTTCGACTAATGACTTTGTGCACTCGTCGTCCTTGACTAGATCCTTGACGGCGTCGTGGTTCAGATCGAAGTGGAAGTCCTCGGTTAGTTTCTTGCCGCATCTCGCGTCGTACAACGCGAGACGAGTGTAGTAAGGTTCGACCTGACATAACAACTCTTTGTCCCCGTCTATGGGCGCTTGTAACCTAAACTTTAAGCTTTCGCATTTGAGCAATATTCTTTGGCCAAAATGTTCTCTGTAACGAACAAACAGCGTCGTTTTAATATTTTCAATCTATATATTAATACGTGAAGCAAAAACTTTGTACCCCTTTTTACGAAAATTGCACGAACGGAGGAGTATGAAATTTCCCACACCTATAGAGAATATAGAGAAGGAGTGCCGAATGTAATTTTTTTTTAATTATATTTATAATACATTAAATCAATAAAAAAAGCATTACATACACTACCACCTATTTGACACACACACTTATATAATAATATACTCTTTGTTTATTGTCAAACTTTTGTTATTGCTTAAAGTCTGTGGTCAAATTGAGAATAGGTTAATGTTGTTTATCTTTAATATTATTTGTCTATAGTGTAGTCTTGGCGAAATCTGTCACTATAGAAGTCTATAATAGTCTTTGACAATAGAACCATAATAATGTTCAAACTATATATAGTATTTCACGATTGACTTCGACGGTGAAGGAATAACATCGTGTAATAAAAATCAAACCCGCAAAATTATAATTTGCGTAATTACTGGTGGTAGGACCTCTTGTGAGTCCGCACGGGTAGGTACCACCGCCCCGCCTATTTCTGCGGTGAAGCAGTAATGCGTTTCGGTTTGAAGGGTGGGGTAGCCGTTGTGACAATACTGAGACCTTAGAACTATATCTCAAGGTGTGTAGCGCATTTACGTTATAGATGTCTATGGGCTCCAGTAACCACTTAACACCAGGTGGGCTGTGAGGTCGTTCACACATCTAAGCAGTAAAAAAAAAATTCAATGAATTATAGTCGAATTTCGATTACTGCGGGACCACTAGTTCAATTAATTTCGTTTGCATTGAAATTGTAATTGAATTACTCAACGAACGCAAACGAGATTGAACATGTCCAAAAATTTTTGTTATTACGTAAATGCGATTATTGCATTACGTATTATGTTAGTGCAATTTATGATGATAGTTACAAATGTATTTTTCATGGTCACTTTCATCGAAGTAGATGAGGTCAACTGTGTATATAATTATGTTGATTTGAGAAAAAGTTTTACGGATGACGTCAAAACTCCATCGGAACCATGTATCTAAAGCTAGATCATTCTAATAATACTAATAGTGCAAACTGAAGACTGATAGGTACATTACGGCAAAAAGTTAAACAAATACGTACGCTTACTAAGCAATTTTTGCAGATATTACATTCGAACTCTTTCTAATATCGCACCTTTAGTATAGAAGTGGCATAACTAAAAAATTTATGAAAATTCGTTTTAAATTTCGAACATCTTATAAACATGTTCAGAAAAGGACAAACTTACTTTTTCCGTCTCTTTTGAGTCGCGCATACCTTATAGTATTAAAATCTAAATACTAAAAATATATAATTATTAAATCACATTTTTGGAATTCAGAAGAAAAATTAAATTTTGGATTAAGCCACTTCAATTCTAAAGGTGGCGATATCGCTTTTAACGATTACTTCATACAGTTAGGAAAATCACTCTCGTAACTTACTTGAATGGTTCCAACTGAGGTTCTGGCGACGGCGCTCGTTTGTACGGCAACATGAATACGTTGAAGCGGCTCTCGTTGCGCGCCGCCGCTATAGACAGGTCCGTCTCCCGGGAGTACCGGATCAGAAGCGGGTTCATGCTATGCTCCAGACCCTTGAGAGTACCGTACGTCGGAGGAGGCGGCTCTGCGGTCAGTGACACGTCCGCGTCTACAATGAGGAATTAGGAGAATTAATTTTAGAATAGAATTCGAAAAAAAATCGATTTTAGAATAGAATAGATTTTAGATTCCAATTTTACTGGTGGTAGGACGGACCTCTTGTGAGTCCGCGCGGGTAGGTACCACCGCCCTGCCTATTTCTGCAGTAAAGCAGTAATGCGTTCCGGTTTGAAGGGTGGCAGCCGTTGTGACTATACTGAGATCTTAGAACTTATATCTCAAGGTGGGTGGCACATTTACGTTGTAGATGTTCATGGGCTCCAGTAAACACTTAACACCAGGTGGGCTGTGAGCTCGTCCACTCATCTAAGCAATAAAAAAATAAAAAAGATACGGTACAAAAAATATACATTTAAAATTGAGCAAACTTATCCAACGATGCTGCCGTTATATAACTTCAATTTTATTAGAAAATCTTATTTCAGGTTGATCAAAATTTTAAATTTATTTAAAAGTAAATCTTATTATTTTTAAATGATGTCATATTAATAATGTATTTTAGTTTTAGTTGAGATTTATATTTATCTTTCATCTAAAACTGAAAGCAAGACACAATGACGAACTATATTCAAGTCAGGTAGGACCTACTTGAAATAGGTTAAGAACGACTGCCGAAGTAGATAAGACCTATTACGTTTAAGTAGAACTAAGTAGGTATTACATATGTAATAAATAGCAAACTTATAATAATACAGTAAAGTGATTTATCAAGTTAACCTTTATCTAATGCCTCGTTGCTTTGGTTTGTTTCCTGATTATCTTGGTTTTTCTTTAGCGTTGCTTTAAAACTGTTAATCCATTCATTCATTTCCTCTTCGTTTTCCGCTGAAAACGTGTACCCTTTACCGCCAGACATGCGTAGCTCGAAGCTAAATCTGCCGCGTTTGGTATTCTGTTGTGAGATTTTACAAAACCGATATAATTATATACATTCAAACTTGAAAATATTTGAACAGTTCGATGACGGTAAAGTTTTAAATTTGAATTTTTTTAACGTTTTTATTCATTAGCCTTTTTGAGAAAATAAAATCATGGTATACCCTGCTTACCTACTAAGCGGTTCTCGGTCAAATTTTAGTCATATCTCATATTTACCTGAGAATGGCTACAATTTTAATACTGTCTCATCGAGATCTAATGTACTACGTACGTAATATAATCTCGATGTACTGTCTTGATCATATCACATTCTAGAGTGTATTGCTCTAAAAGCAGTAGTTCATTCATATACACAAATAAACCTACACAGAGAGGCGAAAACCTGAAACGATTGATTACCAAGCGCAACTTTTATGATACTAAAACCGCATTCATGAGACTTGAATAAACAGCATCATGTTTCTAGATTGTGTGCGGTGTTGGACAGTTAATATCATGTTTCTTAAACCCGTAATCGATATGAAACAAAACAATCGCTGAAATAATATCCGAAAAGTTACTTCACATATTATATTTATACATGACCTGGTGGATAGCCGCCGCAATGCAGACACACGCGTTCATTGTACAATTGTACAATATTATGTACTTACACGAACAACATCAGAGCAAAAATCCATTACGATAGTGAGCTTTGTTTCCGTTTTCTTATCATCTTTATAAATTTCGAGTATGTAGGTGCCGTCAGCTTCTCTGATCATTGAGCAATAGCGTTTCTTAAACGATTTAGATGCGAGATTTCCGAAGAGCCTATCCGATCCGATCTCAGGGCCTTTGAGCAAATATCCTTCTTTAGTACCGAGGTCAACTTTCGTAGATTGGTTCTCATCGTTTTCCGTTTCCGCGTCTATGTCGTATACCTCTTCAGGCAGTTTGCTTACGACGAGCCTTCGGAGAGAAAGCATTCGTTGAAAAACTGGTATCAGTTGTAGGCACTTCCGAGACGAGTTGCGTCTAAATTTATTCTGAATTGAAGAATCGCTACGAGATTATTGCCACGTAACGAGAATTAAATTGCCCCATTTATTAAGCATTAATTATTATGCACGATTTCAAACAAAATGAATAAATTATAATAATGTTAGATTTTACGTAAAAACCCGTTCGAACAATCCCAGTGAAAGCGTTAAAACGTCGCGCATAAGCATATTTTTTATGATAATCCGCGCATCCTTTAGTTACGTAAATATTTCCGTCATTATGTTTGTGTTTAGGAAGTGACTCACAAATCAGATTTCAGTAATGAACATTCCAACATAGCCTTGAAAAACTGTTTCAGTTATGTTATCCATGCATCATGGTCATGCTAACTGCGTTAATTGCACACTCAATGAACACTGATACATATCTAGCACTAAAATTATTTATGTGATTTAAACCATTGTTTTAGTGTACCCCAAATAAATGTTAACATTACCAAGCTGCGGATTAATGAAAATTAAATACTTAAAATTGATTTATGACTGTATTAAGGAAATACCTATTCTTGCTTTTATAATTAAATTGGAGAGTCTTGTAATTTAATTTTTATATACTAAAGTTCTAATGTACCAAACATTCTATTGTAACAGAGGCATACAAACCTTGGCAGATTTACATAAGTCCCAGAATAGTTGCTATATTTGTAGTGAATAAGATTCCAACTAGAGGCATAGCTGAGCAGAGCTTGTCTCGTGAGCAAGGGACACGATGCAGCTATCCTCACATCTGGAACTGCAGTAGTGACAGTTCTCCAGCGCCGAGGAAGGACTACACTCTATGCATAAAATTTATAAGTTATTATGTATACAATTTATTTCAATTCATTTAAGTATATATTTATGAGAATTAAAGAAGTAGTACTCATAGGCGTTTTCAAAACATCGCCTCTACTAAGAAGATCAGAGAGAACCTTCTCTTGCCTGGTGATAATCTATTTCTTATAAGGCTCAGGGAAGGCCTTCCTGTCAGCTTCATTACATAAATAAAAATATGGGATTATACTTTAAGAGATCTTGATCTGTCACATGTGTTGCTAATAGGGTCCAAATCCTATATGCATAGAAAGTTTAAAAGGATTAAATAAATTAATCAGCATTTTTCCTATAATTTACACAAATTTCTTTTAATCCATAATTATTTTGTGTATTGGCAGATGTGCTTTTTGTAGATAAGGTTGTCTAATTTTATGATATCTACTTAAGAATTCAAATGGTAAAGTAAAATATCCATGTAAAATATTCACATGTTTAATGTGTTTACAATATATTGTTATTTTTAATGTGTTGTTAAAGGTATATAGTACCTATTTAATGTGTATTTTTAGTCTCGTAATTTGCAATCAATAAATTACTCTTTTAATTGAATTGTTTTGACACAGACATCCACTGCAGGATATTGGCTTGAGATATAATTAGATTAAATAGTTTTGTTGCCCTACTTTGTGGCTGTAAAGTCTTAATTTATAAAACTTCATATGTACCCACAATACAAGCTTGATAGTGTGGGTACCATTGTTCAAATAAAAAGGTAACTGCCAGAAATTTTGAGCAGTATTGTTTTGTTTAGGATTCATTTATGTTTTATTCACTGTAATATAGTTATTTCTAATTTTCCATTCGAATCTGCATTGAACTCTGCTCCTTGTTCTTTTTTTCCTGCTACAAGTTCTTATCAAGCTCTGATTGTGGCATTTAGAATGTCAAATTGCAAATGCAAATATAATTAGCTTGTTTAGCAATCCAAGAAAATTACAATAAAGAATTACGAGAAATTATATTTTCCTGGAAGAGTACATTTATATAATGATTCTTACAACATTAATTATCTCCTTTAGCTGTTGTGAAAGATTTATTGTATTACAAAATTTAGTGACATCATACACAAAAGCAACTTTGTGTTGTTAAAACAGCAAGTGATAAACAACAGCTTGTGATACTTACTGAAATATCATCTGTTGGGTATAAGAGGATATCCCTCAATGGATCATTCAGAAGTAAAGTTTTATTATCTTGAATGTATTGTTCAAAATCAAGTGCTGTGCATTTGCGGGCGATGATGTTCTGAAAAAAATTATTAAGGAACAGTTCACAAAAAAAATATATGAAATCAACATAACAACTTATTAATGACTTTTTATTTAACAAAGAAATTGATTTCATTCATGATTCGAATGCATGATGCTGTACAGTATTTAAAGTCACCAACCACCAGACCCACAAAACAATCTTTTTATCAGTTACCTAACTCCAAAATCTTTTTTTATTGTTTTATTTGCCAGATGGGTGGACGAGCTCACAGCCCACCTGGTGTTAAGTGGTTACTGGAGCCCATAGACATCTACGACGTAAATGCGCCACCCACCTTGAGATATAAGTTCTAAGGTCTCAAGTATAGTTACAACGGCTGCCCCCCCTTTCAAACCGAAATGCATTACTGCATCACTGCAGAAATAGGCAGGGCGGTGGTACCTACCCGCGCGGACACACAAAAGGATACCACCAGTATCATCTGGACATCATCTTCGAAAATCTTAGACTTAGCAGAGGCAAAAAATAGATTTACCTATAAAACTTTTTATTAGATTTTTATAATGCTTTCACAACTAGCTCAAACAACATATAGTATACATAGTTACATACATAGCACAGCATTATATTTCTAAAGTCTGACAAAATCCTAAGATTCTATCAAACAGGGACCAAACCTGCTGAAAACTAATAAATTTTTTTTTATTAATTTAAATTACATTTTGGTCAAGGGTAACCTAAAGCCATTTTAAATAACAATAAAGAAGCAGCAACATATCTACCACCTAATTTTAAAATCACACTGATGTAAATAGAGCCATTTAAAAAGATTTCTTACTTATAGCTTGAAAGTTGTAATTATACTTATTTTAAAAGTAAACATTATCCTAATTGGTTCTTTATAAATGCATTACATATATCTGAAAAAAGTCCTTATTATATTTTGCCTGTAATGCCTTTAATTAAATAATTGATATTTGACTTGTTGGCACAATGACATGGTTATTTGTATGACATGTTCTATTGTGATTCTGATTTCTACAATAGTGATACTAAAATGCTAAGAGATGATTTAGTATAATCAGTCTAGTGAATTTATCTTATTTCAGTATTTATTTAATTTTTTTAATTACTGATTAGCAGAAAACCATTTAGTCTTATATTTAAAGCCAGGGTTGAACATTAAAAAAATGATATGGTTTGGTTGATTGTATGTAATTATAATTATAAGCTTTGGCTTTATTTTTACATCTCTGGCTTCCGTCATCACAGGTAGATTTTGCAATTTTCAAATATGACTATGAGCTTTTCAATACAAAGTTCTAACATTTTTACTTTACTACAAATGACAATGTAAAAATTACCTTATTACTTAAATATTAATGTTTCAATGACAATAGTGATGGCAACTTAGTTTACAGTATTCATACAGTAATGTTATGTAAACACTGTTTGAATGACAAATTGAGATTGTCAAGCAAAACCAATTATATTTTTCTATTATTATGAAAGTAAGACAGGTTTTAAAGTTTGTGTAGCTCTTTGTTTACTTTGAATAATCATTTAATGTTTGACTGATGAACTGACTAAAAATAGGCTTTTGTCGACTACAAGACCATTGGATTCGTTTTATTTAAAAATAATGAAAATGCGATTTCTAATTCCAGTTTTTGGAATAAACAGAAGTGTTATCTAACCAATTACTAAGTTATACTGTACACTTTTACTAGAAAATAATGTTTTGATTTATTCAGTTTTCTGTTATGAAAAAAAAGCGAAACAGTTTTTTTTAACTATTTTTAATATTTGAAAACCAGAAACAGGATTCTGGAAACAAGAATTAGTTCATATATCTGATTTAAGTATTGAAATTTAGAATAGTTACTGGCAAGAAAAGTATAAAGTTTAAGAGTTCACAAAAATATTGATAAAAGGCAGCCCGTAAACATATTTTTTACTGAACCAAAAGCTATGAATAGAATAAAAACTACTATTTACCTCATATTCTGCGCCAGCTTTTTTTACTTTAGAATTGACCGGAGGCATTATGAAGTTTCACAGATTTTGCTAAGCATTCAGATAGAATATATTCATTATTTTAATTATAATGCGGTTATTTACACAACGTTCATTTTCTTTCTTACACAAACAGCACATCACTTAAAAACCGCAACGAAATTCTGCCAAATTTTTGTGCTAATGTTTGCCCATCGCTGCTGTAACTAGCATAGATTATACACTTAATATATTTGAGAGTAACTAGTGCTTAACTGTTGATGGATTTCGAAAAGTAATGTCAAATGACGATTTTTGATCGATTCAAACTCTCAATTCGAACGTTAAGTCGATCGAAAATAATTCAAATCCAAAATTTTCACGATTCGGAAGTTAATGACAAAACGTACATACACATTAGAGTTCGTTTTAGTGTACCTATTTATTTGTGTTTATTATCTAATTAATTTACTGCTCTCATTGAGCTCAAGCTCAAACTATATCTATCTTCTATCTATATAATATATATAAAAATGAATTGCTGTTCGTTAGTCTCGCTAAAACTCGAGAACGGCTGGATCGATTTGGCTAATTTTGGTCTTGAATTATTCGTGGAAGTCCAGGGAAGGTTTCAAAAGGTGAGAAAATATAAAAAAGCTCGGAATTATATAAAAACAAACAATTTTGTTTTTCCTTTGATGTGTCCTCTTGATGTGTATTTTATTTATCGATTTAGGCACTACGAAGTCTGCCGGCTCAGCTAGTTACTGATAAATCTTTAGTATAATAAATATGAATATAACTGAAACGTAGTTTTAGAAGTTTTGTTTTTCATTAACATTTTCTCAGAGTTTTAAACGAGTACAATTGCATAGAATATTACATATTTTTGATTTTTTAACAGACATGCTTTTTTTCGGGCCGGGGATTGGACCTCCTTTCAGGTCCTCAGGCCTAGGGAGCGCGCGGTGTATGAGACTGGTCCGCAAGAGTGAACCGCGGGCCCTGACATGAAATTTAGAGCTCTACCTACTAAACGATTCCCCTGCACTCTCATCCAACTGTTTCATTTCTCCCGAGGTCAGAACCCGGGTAAGGAAAGGGGGTTACCGCGATCAACACCAGACACCTGACAGTGAAGCTCACCCCAAGGACACCCGGCCGACGGAGTTTTCGAGGCGAAGAACAAAAGCTCTGAAAACGTCAGCCGTCTCGGTACGGCAGCCCGTCATGCCACCTAGACAGTGCTGCTGGGATCCCGGAATACCTCGCTGGAACAGAACTAGACTACAGGGTCAGGACGTGATACACCGCAAACCAGTTGCTTTTTTCACGATGTTGGTGTTTCTTCTCGATAGTGTGCTTGAGTACTGTTAGTGTGCTCTGCAGCCTCAACCCCTTCAGGTCGCCCTGTAACCTTCAGTAGGCTTAGTGCGAGTTTCAAAAATCGAATCGAATGACTCGCATCGAGTGTACGCTCTTCACGGTGAAACGTGCGGAGCTCTGAGTGCGAGTTACTTGATTTGCAGGACGTTTATTCATCTTGAGAAGCGATAATTTTTTCTTTTATATTGGTAGCACGCAAGGGTTTTTTTAAGGCGTTTAATTGAAATGCCAAGNCTTGAAAAGTAATAAGAAAACTTCACTATTTAGTTTTTTCGATTTTTCTCTCGATCGCGACGCAAGCCTCCGCTAGCTCTGTTTGCCCACGAATGCGGACGGGCGGGGGAATGTAATGTTACGAGGCGCGCGTGTTCCGATATGTTCTTGACGAAAAATAAAGAGTATTCACTTTGCCTGGCCTATCCACTATGCCCGGACTTCCCCTAATGCTTTTTTTTACCACGATTCCCATATTTGATGAGGTTTTTTTTATTGTCAGTGTAGGCAGAAGAGCATATGGCCTGTTTGATGAAGTGGGTACGGTTGCTCACGGACGTCAGCAATGCCGCAGTAAAGGGAGTAAAGGCAATGCCTACCCTCGAGTTTTCTCCGCAAACCAAGCTCCCGCTATCCGAAGCGCTGTGGTCACACTAGTGGTCTAGTCGTTCAATAATACTGGCAATGTTTATTTTTTATTTTTCACTGTCATTATTGGCAGAAGTTGATGAAAAAAATGCTCTTTTGGGCCAAGCGTAATAAGTGTCATTGACGATCAAATTTCATTTACATTATACTGTAGACTCTCGAATAAATATACCTATATAAAGGTGATCTTATGATACGGTTAAAATAAAAATCTGTAAAAGACAATGAAGCCAATAGCCATAAACGATACTTACAAACGTTAATTCAGTGAGTCTTGGAGTTTTTTTTTTGGTGATACCGTAATAAATACCAGAGTAAGCATTTAGAGCTTTGAAATATATATAATAAATAGTGATCAGCGAATATCGGTTTACATGAGAAGTTAACATCATCCTCCATTTCTGCCGTGAAGCAGTCATGAGTTCGGGTTTCGAAATTGGCACAGTCGCTATACCTCTAGCCGACGTTCTCAATGTCCATGAGCTCAAAGTATAGTTCAAAGAATTGAACGTTCTTATGTAAAGTATTCTTTGAGAAAACGTATCGTTTATTATTTCGCGAGGTAAAACATGATATGCCCACGCATGGGAGTGGCTGCGCGTCCGACCGATGATTATCGTTCTTATCAGATAAACCGACTAATGTTAACTTGTAATTATTGTAAATTATTTCATAAAACAATTTAATTAAGTTACACGGAAAGGTCGTTCTATCGGCTTATACGAAAATTTCAATATGATTTCGCTTTAAAAGGGTTTTTGGTTAGTACGAAATCAGGTAACTTATTATAATATCGCCTGATATTAGGTTGTTTTGGTACCTGTGGACATCAAATCGCGGATCCCGTTCCCAGCCTTGAGCCTGTAAGCATGTCATTAACATCGTTAATAACATAGGTGAAAGTTAAGCGTTTAAAATAAAGCATTTTAAGCGGGCAGCTTCACAAAGTTTACTACATCGTTAAATATTTAACACGTTCACTGTTTATTTTATTAGTTTCTTACTCGCTCGAGTTTATTTCATATTTTGTTACCGATATTTAAAAAAAAAAAAGGTGTATTTTATCGGCGTTTATGTTCAAATTGATTGTGGTGATGTCCAAAAACTATGAAAACTACTGAGACTACAACCGCGACCACTCTGACAAGAGCGCCCAATTAAGACCTGATCCAGAAAGGGCGAATTCAAATTAGTGAGATACTAGGCATCAATACATCGCGCCCACAAGCATCGCGCGAATTCAAAATACGCGCGTAAATCGCGTACACCACGCTAGACTCTCGACTCGCGCGTGATAAGAGGAAAGAGATCAGAGGAAATAATATGAATATGATAGATTGCGTTTGAGCTACCACAACGTATGCTCTTTTTTTTATTGCCCTTGTAGGCAGAGGAGCATACGGCCCACCTGATGGTGAGTGGTTACCGTCGCCCATGAACTTCAGCAATGCCAGGGGCAGAGCCAAGCCGCTGCCTACAGCCAAGCCGCTGCCTACAGCCAAGCCGCTGCCTACAGCCAAGCCGCTGCCTACAGCCAAGCCGCTGCCTACAGCCAAGCCGCTGCCTACAGCCAAGCCGCTGCCTACAGCCAAGCCGCTGCCTACAGCCAAGCCGCTGCCTACAGCCAAGCCCCTGCCTACAGCCAAGCCGCTGCCTACAGCCAAGCCGCTGTTTACAAACACCCTGTATGTCTAAATCCAATAAAGTGCTTTCAAGACCTCGTACAAAAAAAAATCGAAAGTAAAACGACAAAATTTTAAAACGAAATAATCTATACAGGATTAAACAGAAATACTGTTTTGGATCACAAATAATATCGAATAAAATAAGTTAAATAATTTGTGACGAAGAAATATGACACAGATTAAAATCTCATTCAAACTTTAGGGGAAATTGAATGGTCACACAGATAAAGAAAAATTTTAAAACTGCAACACACACACAATCGTTGAATATTTTCTTGAGAAAGAGACAAAGAGTAAAGTCCCATAGAGGGGATAAGCACGAGTGAGCGAGGCGGAAACAGATGCAATGTTCATTAAAGAGGGTCAGTGTAGGCCACGGGGTGTAATACTCCCCTGCCCACCCGCGGCGATCTTGTGGTCGTCTTTTTAATTTGCGTTTGGAATTCAGGGCTGACCAAAAGCAAAATTGCAAAATAAAACTTGCTCTTTAAATTTGATTACTTGATTGATTTGTTACTGGAGGTAGGACCTCTTGTGAGTTTTTTTTTAATTTTTTATTGCTTAGATGGTTGGACGAGCTCACAGCCCACCTGGTGTTAAGTGGTTACTGGAGTCCATAGACACCACAACGTAAATGCGCCACCCACCTTGAGATATAAGTTCTAAGGTCTCACGTATAGTTGCGTCCACGCGGATAGGTACCACCACTCTGCCTATTTCTGCCGTGAAGCAGAAATACGTTTCGGTTGGAAGGATGGGGCAGTCGTTAGCTTAAAATTAATTATTAGAGGCAATCCTTTTGCAAAATTATACTTAACTAGCGTTTATTTTATAAGAAGGCTCCATTCCCTGACTTAAGTCTTTATGGTTCACATGGGTTAAATTGAGAAGTTAAGAATTTTAATTTAAAAGATAAGTGGACTTATCGAGGCAAATAGCTGCTTCTCAGTATATCTACAAACCGTTTTATCTTCTAACAACGTTTAATCTAATTTTTGTAATAAAGTTGTTTTTCTTAGTTTTCCGGCGTTGATCGGCCCTGGAATTCCGAGACAGCATCGCCGGGAGGCGCGGCGTCTTATCAACGAATTAATTCTAGACTAACGAAGACAGGGAGCCGCCCCGCGATTAACACAACCACCCCTTGGATCTAGAGTTACAAATATTCAGACATCTACTGTTCAGCGAACTTATTCGTATGAATAAATTTTGGTCTCGTATGAACCAATTGTGAAAAGTCTATCAATTTTGGCGGCGAAAACCAATAGGTCTATGATTATTACATAGAATACGGAAATGGTTTTTGAATACACGACTATTAATATTACATATTTTTGACGTGACAACGTCTTATAATTCGATGGAACCGGCTGCACGCACGAAAAAACATGACTCATTGAGGCGTTCCATTTAAGGCTTGAAGTGCAAGCGAGAGCGCGCAGCGGGAGACAAAGAAGCACAATCGTCCTCCGCGTTCGGCAGCGTTCGACAT